AGATGAAGTTGCAGCTAACAGATAGATTTTTTTATATGTATGGCTCGTACTAACATAATCAGTTGCTTGAACTGGATGTTTCTGTTTAAAAGTAAGTGTAAGTGTAAGTATTACAATAATAAAAATTTAATAAATTTATTCAGTTGCTGAAGTAAATAGAAGCACACGAACTTGCAACTTTTAACGCAATCATATATGTATATCTTTCACGGCGTCCTAAATACTGTATATGTAAATTTTATTCGTAGAGCTAGTTTAAATTATATTCTGATTTTCATGCCAGTTATTTATTATATTCCATAGGTTATACATTTTCAGTCTCGTTTAGAGTAGTAAAGGTAAGCCAAATTTGAAGGACATCACCCAAATGAGTGTCCCAATTAGTTTTTGTCAATTTTCCGCTGTAATATTAGACATTGAGTTTTTTATATGCCTACCCTAGATTTCCGTGATCCATTTCTTTCAGAAGATTATAGGATATTGAACGAACAATCCCAGTATAAAGACAATGCGATTGATACGATTATCTATCATTTACAAAGATACACCTGACTGTGAACCATTTATCACACACATAAGGTTCCATTTCGTGTAACACACACATAATCATCTTCAGACCATTACGTGGGTAAGAAATGAAAGTTTCTCCACCTGTGTCAGATATCAGAAACACATAAACGTTTCATAGTTTTCTATTTTTATTTCAAACACCGTACAGGGTATTATTACTAGGAAACTTCGCTAACGGCTCAATTAAGAGTGGAATTGATGACTAGTTATTTGCTACTCGCTTTATTGCTTTTAAAGTTTAAGACGTAATTAGAAATAATTGGAAAGTGAACATAGATTGGATATAGCAATAGTATTTATAGATTGGATATAGCATTAGTATTATGATTTTTAACTATTTTGCGAAAAATGTCAAATAGCGTTGACTTGTTTCTTTCTCGTATAAAAGTTAGACGATGTAATTAATATCAAGTCATATTTAATATAGATTAAATGACACGTTTGTAATTATGTATGCATCGATTGGCTATTCCAGTTGCAAATCCTAATGTTTTCTTTATAATTAATAAACATATATAATAATTCGCAAACTACCGCATTCGAATCTATTTGTATTTGTTTCTATTGTATGTACTGTATTTTTGTCAAATATCCAACTCAACAATAGGTAAAAATAAACAATAACGTCTTTTCTAGTGAGATAAGACTCAGATTTGTTCTCATGTGAAAAAGATATTATGTCTACTATCACATCACGTAGACAACCTAGCTAAATCATGACCAAAGATCGACCATAGCTTACGGTATCCTAAAAATACAAATCAGTAGAAATATAGTAGAAATTGATGCATAACGACTTAATTTACAGAAGTATAAATAATTGCACTTAACTTACCTAAGAACTTGAACTGTTGCATCCAACTTGTAATATTAACTTCTGTCTGACCGCAGTGTCAAATTTAGCAAGTCCGTAAAGTTCGTCCTGCTGGAAAGCGCCCAATGTTTCCGTTAAAATTCAAACTCCGGAATAAAGTAGAAGTCGACCCAAGTCAGATGACATTGTGGGTACGGTTAGGATTGTTATAATTTATTCATCTGCATCCAGATTTCGAGATTGCAGTGATGTTTTAAGTAATTGGATTTCGATTTCAAAACTACTAATAGGTCTTAATTAGATGTTTTTAAGCCCAGATGCAAAAAACAGGAGAGTTATACTTATTATGCTGCAGACAGATACATATATGTTAAATACATATATGTATCTGTCTGCAGCAGACTTTTTCCTAAACGAATGGTCCGATAATATCTAATATGATCCGGTTTTTATTGTTTGAAAGGTAACATGATCGAGATGGTTTTTAGATACAAATTCTGATTCTTTAGACGTAATATGATAGTTTTATGTTCATTAGTTCTTTTGGTTAGGTGCATTATGGATCTTAGAAGCACAATAAATATATACTTATTTCTAAATATATTTAATGTTCACACATTAAGGACATTTGAATAAAACAATTACATTTAAAAATTTGTAGAAATAATGTTTTATCGTTACTTTTCTCTTATGTTTTTGAAACCATAAGAACCTTTTCACCGAAAACGTACTTTTGACGTTTGGTCTCTACTTACTTTTGAAATTTGGCAACATTTTCCTTGATGTAAAATTAAAATGTATATAGCCACATCTATTTGCAAAGACTGGACTTAGCTCTTTAGATAGGATATACGGAGTCAGCAGTTCAGAATACAATACTGGTTCTGTGGTCACATACATATGTATGGATCGTAGTCTGGATACTGTATATAATGTAGCCAGTGATCATAAAATGTGAAATCCAGTGGCAATCTGAATTAATAATACAAAGAGGTAGATAATTACAATAATCGCGTAGTTATAAAATCGTAATAGTTGTCAATGATCAAAATTTTACTACATATTCTAATCTATATCATATCGTAACAACCCATAAACATTCCATTGACGAGTATGATTATTTCGACATAAGAAACTGTGTATGAGAACAAATAATTGTAACGTTCTGTATAATAAGCGAACCACCTCTACCACAATAAAAGTTAATAGTTACTTTTAAGCTTTCGTGTTTAATATACATTATTTATATTATTAACCAGGTCTTAATAAAGAGAGAGGTAAATAAAAGACCTTTATTTGCCATAAAATTATTCGTTTTAAGACCCGGTTAATAATTTAAATAAGACTTAATATATTAGGATACAGGTTTATTAGGTTGTATTGTAAATTTTACTTCTTATTCCTTCTTTTATAATGGTACGTCAATGTGCTAGGCAGTTCTAACTTTTTAGGTCACATTTTTCTTTGTAAAAATAGAGCTCATGGCTAATCCGGTAAATGATTACTGCCAGAATTTTCAACACCAGAGAAAAATATTTATATATTTTAATTCTTTCGATGCAATATCGGTTACAGTAGTTATTAGTAACATAATTAAACAATATTCTTTAATCATTACAAATGAAGACATATAAATACTACGTAGATTATGTACGCGTGTTAAACCTATGTTTTCTCAAGAATAATATACCAATATTGAAGATAAACGCTACTGATATTTCATTCCAAGTCCTTGTAACTTCGTGTCCATGCTCAGAAGCGGAACGGGTCAGAATTTCATTTGAAGAGAACCGGATTCCGAATTCAATGGCGCCGCGAGCTTTCTTTGCGAAAATTATACGAACTCACGAACGCATTTAGATTTCATGACAGCGACATTTTGACTATGAATACGCCAAGAATTTCTTGATACTTTCAAGATTTTATCGGATTATATTGATATAAATATGTCATGACGACTATTTTGCCTGATGGAGTAGTCAGGATCAGAACTGCTCATACTTACAAATAGCTGGCCATAGCTAAGAAACGTGGCATGAAATGAGCTAAATTATATTGCTAACTTTAAATAATAGTGCGTATTAAATTAGATTTTAAATGTATATTGATAGATGTCATTATTGTTCGTTCCATAGCAGTATATAGATATAAAAACCACAAGTAATAGATCACACAGAGAAAACAATGGGGCTTATCGTTAAAAGCGATTTCTTCCAGACAATTCTTCCATTGGATGGAGAGGAATAATACAAGTTTGGTCAGGAGCACAAATTACGTAGAAATAACTGCAAAATAATGTTATAAATTTTCGTAATACTCGAAATAATTACCAAAATCAGCTAATACGTACGTACACTAATAGTATTTAATATGCAAAAAATATAAGAATAAATGTGCATAATTATAAAAATACACATATAGTATGAAGTTTATTATGTTTCGAAATCCGTAAGTTTGACAATTTACAGCCGAATTGAGTACTTCCTTTTGAAAGTTGATTAGAAATATCGTCAATCATGATTACCAGTGATTTAGTCTGTTTATTAAAATATACATTAGTCTATTTCGGTGTTCGTGATAAATATCTTCTTCATATACAATCAATACAATCTTCCCGTCAAATTTCATTAGTATCTGCTCAACCGTTTTGTCTGTTTGTTACCTAAGTCAGATAGAACTGACAGACAATCAGCTAGACACACTTTTGCATTTATAATATTGGATGTCGAAATTTTGAACAGTTTAATAAAAACATTACCGATAAAAAGTAGAGTACACTAAAGCAATTTTCAATTTAAAAACATTCGTTTAATATGCAATCAGCAATAAGTTGCATCGCAACACTTTTTTATATTCATCAGGCGCTGCGTGTAGCAACATTCGACGTTTCAGTATCATTTCATATTGTTCCCTCTTTTGCATTTCCACAATGAATACAATTTTCATGTGGCCACTGAAGCGGTAATGTTTATTTACTTTTGAATACTGCGTGTGGAATCATTTGGCGGAGAAGGCAAATGGTGCGGCATTATTAATTTTTCATCGACGCAAAATATGTTATATATCTACTGTATAAAAAATTGTCCATGTTGATGTCCTAACAGACATATGGTTATATATATTTGTAGGTATACATATCTGATTTCAATTGTTTTAACTACAAAAACAGACTTGTCGTTTTCATATTTATAAACGAGTACAGTCACAGAAATATGTTACATATTGTTATATAATGGATAACCTAAGTCCATCTGTAACAAACACACAGACAGACACGGATTATAATTTATGATATTAGTACGGATATATTTCTATCATTTGACTTCAGAAACCATAAAATAAAGAGCTACTTTCGCTAAATCGTAAAGAAATTAAATTGGGCCCATTCATGAAGCAATCCCTTTTTTCCACGTCAAAGTGTACAGTAATTTTGAACTTCATAAGCTCTTTACTCCGGCCTAATACAATTAGGTGCACGCAAAATGGAAAACAAAATACGAAAACATTTCAGTACACTCGGAATCCGCCTAAAAGAAATATGTCGTATCTCCGACCGAAGTTTGGCAATGCTCCAACTCCTCCGGTTTATTTTGAGTAGACCACGTTTAGTTGACGGCGCGATAACCTAATCGATTCTATCAAATTGAATTTGCACATGCTCGTGGCAATTTAAACTCGGTTAGGCTTTATACAGTGAATCGATGTCAGTTTATCGGTCAAAATCATTCGTGAAACGCTGATCTACTCGAGTAATTAAGAAAGTGGTGTGTTGTGAAATTGCGCAGGAGTATTGTTGTTGTTTCGTAACACGTAACCAAAGCAAAGTTGTCAGTTGCGATTGAACTGTGAAAAAGTCAGTTATGTTATATTACATGTTCTTGATACACGCAATCGTATTAATAAATATTGTACCGCTTGTGTTTGGTGTTCAGCAAGGAAAATGTGACCAAATGCCACCGCAAGCTAAAGTGTTTACTCCCAGCAAAAATAAAGGCATATATAAATTGACTATAGAAACTAATCAACAAACACCTTTTTTGTATATGCCGGATCAAACTTATGTTGGTAAGATATATCAGAGAATTAGATGTTGTCCAAGCCTTAATCTGCTTGTTTATACATATGTTCAAGTAAACGTTCATATATTGTTCTAACCTCGCCTACTTTTTTTTAAATTTTCACACTTTCAATAAACATACAAGAGAAGTTAGATTAACAGTACTACCTAGTATGGAAGATTAGTAACCTAATATGTATCCATAATTCAATGTTACTTAAATTAATATTAGTGGCATACATTATCGATTGAATTAGGAATTTACTTTTCAGTATAAATAGTTACTATTTATACTCAAAAGTAAATTCATAATTATGGATCCATATTAGATTGCTATTCATCCATCATATAATAATATAGAAATATACTTACTTGTACAAACCTATGTGTATAAATCTAATATGTATAAGTGTTTATCTTTGCAAGAGAAATAAAGAGCAAAATGTATGTTCTCCAATTTTTGCTCAGTATAAATTACCAGGCGTTTACATAAAATACACTATTCTGCGTGTACTTGTAAGGTAATTGCGTAAAAATTACGAAATTATGTTTTTTTTTTGTTTTTCAGTTGACTTATAAACATTTTTTTACCATTTAATAAGATACATTATTGTACAACAACATACTTGTAATCATGATTATTGCTGTATGAAATTCCACTTTCTAGTCCTAAGAGAATCATTTTGTTTTAGTTACACTCCGATCACTAAACAACGCCAAGCCATTCAGGTTATTCATGATAACCGCTGAGGATCCAAATGTGGACAGCACTCATGACCTTGGCCCTAACCCAGTAGATGTAGGGAGCCTCAAGACCTTGGATACGGAGATTGGCAGGAAATCCAGATACAGTGAAAGGTGTTATAGTTCTGTTGAGAATACAGATAGCTCCGACAAGTATAGGATTGAGGTAAGTTTATACATTTTAATTTTAACGAAAAGTAAAACATTCTGGCAGATCAATAAGTTTAATATCGTAAAAGCCATTCATAAATTACCTTACACAAATTTCAGTGACCCCCCTCTCCCCAAGTATAGAAATGTAAACTATTCAAATACGATTTACTGTGGCAATGCAAAGCCTATATTAGTTATTATTCCGTTAATAGTTAAAATTTCGTGTTTAAATACAAATTTTTGAAATGTGACGTCATATAATCTAAGACAACTAGTGTGAGCGGAGTCCGACATTTTTTACAGGCACTTTATGACTCGTTCAAATCATATTACAGCGTCACATTAATTGCAACACAGATAGTCAATGATTTCAAGTCTTTGGACTGTCCGTCGTGGTATCCATCATCTAAAGCTATTGTATAATATTGTCTAATAATAGCACCACATTTATATACATTCTTTTAGTAAATACATTAGTAAATTTAAAGAGGAAAGTCCTTAATAATATAAACAAATATAGTCATGAATACAAGAGAATGGCGTCTAAAGAATATAATTTTAATAGTTTAACATATATATATTATATACATACTATACTAGCTATACTCCTGATTTCCTCTGCGTTTTATTTAACTTTATTTCCTAAAATAAAAGTAGCCTAAGTTACTTATTATATCAGCTACCTGTTAAAAAGGTCCCGTCATAATCGGTCCAGTCATTTCAGAGATTAGCTGGAACAAAGAGACCGACAGACAGACAGACAAAAATTGTAAAATATGTTATTTTGGTGTACGTACCATATGTATATTCATATGCATGTAATAAAAAACATTTATTTCAATATTACAAACAGACACTCCAAATTTATTTATATGTATATTTAATAAATGTATTTGCAATATCCAAACAAATATTAACTTTCATTGTTAGATCCATTGGATATCCCCGAAGCAAAGTTACGTATCACAAAAAGTCCGTCTACGTGCTATGGTGGCTGAAAACGAAGAAGTATGGTACACCGGAGGGGATGATCTGATTGTCATGATGGAAAAAGACAGTCACCCACCTCTAGATAGTCCCCCGTATCCGGCTTCTCAAACTTGTGAATTATGCAGTGAAGCCCGATATGAGGTAAACTTATAAATTATATATGAGTCGTCACATAATGACTCGCCCTTGCTTCTCACTTTTCTCACTTGTGTACTTAGTTTGTCTTCTTCTCACTCCATTACGTACACTGGCACGTAAAGGTCATCTAATAAAAATTTCAGAAAAATCTCTAAAACTCTAAACTATATCGAAGTCTATTACTATGTATGACATGCTGTGTTGGGTTTACTGGAAATGATTTCTTTTTGAGATTAGCTCACATTGTCTTTAAATTAATATTATTGTATAATATATTAATTTAAGAACAATGTGAGCAAATCTCAATAAGAATCTAAAAGTACAATAAAGAATATATTATATAAGCATATATAAAATCCGTTGCGCAGTTTAAAAGCAAGCGGAAAAGTAGACAAACGTAAACAAGTACTTCTGAATCGCTTAGCCTCTTGGTGTGAACAAAATTGTTTAGTTGTTAATCCCAGTAAGTCGAAGTTCATATTATTGGGCTCCAAACGTCAAGTAACTGATATTAATGCACGTAAACCACAAATTGTTTTGTCTGGAAATCATATAGAACAAGTGACATATGCACGCAATTTAGGTCTTGTTATGGACGAGAGATTACAATTCGAAAAACATATATTGGATATCATGCGTAATTGTTTTTACAGACTAAAAGTACTGTACAGGTTGCGTGAATTCTTATCTGTTGATATTCGAATCAAATTGTGCGAAGCGTTAGTGTTGTCTAAGTTTAATTACGCTGATAATGTGTTTGGGGAGTGCCATTTAGCTCGAACTAAGAAAATGATACAACGTATCCAAAACGCATGTGCTCGATTTTGCTTTCCATTGCTCGTCGTGCTCATATCACCCCTTTTTGGAACAGAATAACTTGTTAAATATGACAGCACGTCGAAATTTACATTTTGCTTCATTGCTTTTTGGCGTAATACACAGTAAAAAGCCCTCATATCTGTATGATAAATTAAATTTTTCAAAGCGTAACGTAAGAATAAATTCTCTTTTACTTTGTCCACGATACAGAACAGCTGCTTTTCGTGGTAGCTTCCAGTACGCTGCTACGAAATGCTGGAACAATCTTCCACCGCCAGTTAGGAACGCCAAATCATTATTCACCTTTAAAAAACTATACAAGAATTATCTATGTACTATTTAACCTATAAATCTTACGGCAAAGTAGTTGTATATATATTTAATGTTTATATTTATTAACGTTATTTTATTCTATTTTGTTATTTCTAGTATATGTAATTGGTTTGTATTTATTAGTTGTAATTTTGTTTTAATTATTATCATTAATATTTTAAATAGTGCCCTCTCTCTCCCCCCCTTTTATATATATATTTTTGGTGCCACTGAAAACCAGCTGTATGTTCACCTAGGACATACATTAAAGCTGAGTGGAGCCATTTCAGTGCATTATTGGATGTAAAAAATGTTTATTTTATGTTTATTTTTTAATTATGGTAAATTAAGTTTAATTATATGTACATTTTATTTGCTCTTTTTTTTTCGTTTGTTGTTTATATTGTATTTTTTACATTGCTCTGAATAAATATTTTTCTTTCTTTCTTTCTTTCTTTCTTTCTTATTTTATATCATCACTTATGTTAGTAAAATTAAAAAATTAATATTTTTGTTATCAATAGAATTTTCTCACCTGTCTTAATACTCAGAAATACTCAGTTTCTTATTTTTAGGTTATTTTTCAAGGCCATTGGTCCAGGTTAAAACATCCGTATCATTATCCAAGCAAACCTGATGAAAACGGCTACAGTCACATGGTTGGTGCTTCCCACGCCTATAACTACATCATGTGGAAACAGGGACTTAAGGCGACTAACGGCTTGAAGCTGCTCGCTGAACAAGCTAACGTTACAGAAATGGAGAGAGAAATCATCAATGCGGTAATATTTACTTGTAATGAAATTATAAGGAACGGTTTAAAGGTGGCCTTACCTTCATGACTTTCACGCAAGTCGAGGTAGCCAAAAGCTCAACTTGTCAGCTTTATGACTGACCTGATATACCAAGATTTCGCATGGTATTTGGAATCTAACAATATTTAGTTTGTGATTAATGTTTGAATTCACCAGAGAGTTAGCAAATCAAATCTAATCAAAAAATATTTATTCATATAGAACTTTTGGACCTTTTATGCATATTATAATTCTTATAATTTTCCCTACCGTCCAGTTCGGCTAGCTGCTTCTATTGAGACGAACTGACGAGAAACTCAACTGATTGTTTATTGTTATTATTATATTTTTTTAGTTAGAAGTTTGAATTGACAAAGTGATTTTTAGTACTTTGAACTTAGGGTTGCATTCGGGTAGTAAATCATAATAGTGATTGTCACAATTTTGCGAAAAACTGACCGTTGGCACTTCCCTAAGGTTGATTTCCATTAAACTATTTCTTAAAGAATGTTTGGCTATTGGTTTAAAAGAGTATTATTAAATCCAGATGTCAAAGGATAATGGAACACGAACTCTCATTAGAGGAAAGCGGCGTCACCATCCTTACATGACGGAACCGTCAATGGCATTATTCCGGGCAGATAGAATACATCACTTATTCTCCATTGCGGTTGCAATGAGACCATCACCGGATTGGTTTTTGGGTACATCAAGGTTTGAACTGTGCACGAAGGCCGGCTGGTTGGAGAACTACGAAATACCTTTGTTTCCATGGGATGCTGGAACGATGGATGGAGTTTCTTATGAGGTAATTAGACGTTACTATTATATTTGTTGTTTTATATAATTAGAACAGCAAAAATGTTAAGGATCCACCTGATGGTAACTACTACTAAGGTCATCACGTAACCATGTGATGTCCATAATCACAGATAAGTTAATATTACATACTTATGATACCGATTACGGGTTGCTATTCTGAAGGACTATGATGAAGTTGAAGGACAAGAAGGAAAAAAAGTATAATATACAATTATACTTTCATTAGTTTATTTTATAATTATTTCTTTTAGTCAGCACCGACAATGACCCAACCTGTAGACGTGGTTAAGCGAGTCGAAGTGGGTTCCTTCAATAGGGAATCTCCGTTCTATCAGAAGAATTTGAAAGATTTGGCACCTTTCGCTACTCTTCAAGTCAAAAGATTGGACGTGTACCATATACCAGAAGAGGAATGTAATGAGAATCAGGAAGGTTGTATATTTTTAAAGTATTGTCTACCATTTTTAGTTGTACTAGGGGCCATCCTAAATTTACTTCACACGTAAAGCGGGAAGTGGTCGACAAATGAGTGTCACAATAGGGTGTGACAATAGAGTTGGCGGGATTCTAAATTTCGTGATGTCACAGTTCACAAAGTATAATATGCTATGAATTACCAATCATTTAATTAAAATAAATAACGACAGAGTTCCCATTTCTTTCCCTTTTCAGGGAAGAAACTCACAAATGTGACAAATTATAGTAAGGACAGGGAGGGAGTCAAGTCTCAGAATTCGTCTGTCGTAATAATGGCCCGACCCTTAGTTAATATTGTTTAATTAAATCTGTATATATTAGTTTTGTTATTTAAACTTGACGTAACAAGTCGTACACATGTAATAGTCCTATGCATTATACATATTTAGAAATTTTGTGACATTTTTCTTTTTTTATTTTTATCTTTATAGAACAGACATTATACTAAATTCTGATCTATCAATATAAATTTCATGTAGATGCTTGTTCCTCTTCTTTTAATTATAGCAACAATAACAATAGTAGAATATAAAAGACATTGATACAAACTTCTAAAATTCATAAACACAGTGTCATATACTACTCTACTAGTAAGGTTAGTAAAGTAGTGATATTGCATTAAACTTTATTGCGACTTTCTTTTCCACGTACAGATAATTCGGAAGGAGCCGAGCAAGAAATGGATTACTCCGAAGAAATGTAAGTGGTTTATTTTTAAAGAATTGATATGGAATGATGTTCCCGCCTGCGGCTAATGGTATATGGCATGGCTATGGGGGCACTAGTGGAGGATGACAGAACGCGTGTCAAGTCAGGTCAGTTAGCCTATCATGTTGATATCAGCGGGATAACAAAAACACGGGACAAACAATTTATGAGAGATATTTTTCAATATTGAAATACTTGTACCATTACATTACTTATAATCTTACATCGGTAATTTTAATATTTACCATTGTTATTTTATTCATTTTCTTGGCGTATTACGCCTTCAAAGCTTAACCAATTCATCATGCTATTTAATTTTCAAAACAATTACGTAGCATTTGGGATGGACAAGAAAATTGGCTATTTATCCCAGCCAATCTTTGTCATATGGACACAAAGTCGTAAACAAAAATACTAGGACCGCAACAAATGTACGGAATTAAACAGTGAAAATTTTAAATATTGCTTTTCCAATATCTTTACCTGTAGAAACTAATACAGGATCTAATAGTTTTATGTATATACTTATATAAATGTTGTTCGATAACATTATGCTGGTGACAAACACTAAAAGAAAAGTTACCATAAGTCTTTGTCAAAGAAGACTTAATATATTTAACACAATTACTGAATGTGACTGTAACTGATTCTTTCATTGATAAAATATAATTAATTTTTTGTAAAAAAATATTACAGTCAGTATTAGCCGTTTTAAGCCAAAACCGCGGAGCATTTTCTTTCAGACAGTTCTTCCTTATTCTATCGAAATTACATTTCGAACTGGTGGTATATTTTACTTAACATAAGCACAGATAAGATAATATACACCATAAGAGTATGTAATATATACTACAATATAATATATGTATTACGTTATTTTGAATTGATTTTATCGGCAATTATTATATATATTTGATATAAAGTCATATTGCGATATCTAGAAACAGTAAACATTTACTGAACAAAAATTTGAGTAAAGGAAAAAGAATTTCATCTCTTGGTATTTTATCTTCATATTTCTTAATCGTCTTAGGGAAGCCCAAGACGAACCTCAAACGGCCGAGTCGAAGCCCCAGGGGACGTGTAGTCTCAGTGTGTGGAGTGATTGGTCCCCATGTGTTCCCAATGATGGGATCTGTGGCAGGGGATTGCAATCAAGAAAGCGTAGTGATAACGGAAATACTCAAGACAGCTACAATGTAAGTATCTATAATGAAACTTGGTATTATATATGGTTTGAATAATATTGTAACGGAATTAAATCGATGGGTGAACTATTTGAGAGTTATAGAAACTAGCTATACATAGTATGCAAATGATTTTAACATAATTATAAGATTGTACATTTTAATATTTTGTTTCCAATGAGCATTGTGAGTCCTTGAGATAAACAAATCGCAACGAGTAAGAAATATCAAGGGGATCGTAGAGAAAGCGTACTTTGTTTATAATAAACATACATTTAAGAAACTCGTCTAGATTATGTCACAATCAAAGATATCTATGGTATAATTAGATATAGGTAAGTAATGTAAACTGATTTGAAGCTTAAAGATTCTGAGTGCGCTGTGTGATAGCTTTCTTTTGGGATTGGTTTGGTACTCCCAGAATCACTAAAAACTATAACCTTTTGTAATTCTTACTGAACAATTCCGTCATATTATATCATACACATTTTAATTTATCTCATGGGTAATAGCCGTGTTCCAAAACTAATCTAAGGAGTAATTGGTTCTATCTGCAATAAGGGTTCTAATTTTACTATACATATCCATTCTGATTTTTATGACTTCCATGACGCAGTTGTATATCTTATAAACAAGGCTTACTAATACGCGTATGTATATAAGTTAACCTTACATGCCTTATTACGTGTGCATAGTTGCAGCATGATTTTTTTGCTTCATCTATTGTTGTGGTGGGGTTCTTTTGTGTTGAGATGTGTTAAATAATATGTACGTTTGCAGCAGAATAATTCTTATTGTCTCTTTTTATAATATATTTACACTAATGTCAATCAGTATTTTGACAACTAAACTATTACAACTATATATTACATCACAAATTAATAAGTAGATCGTATATACTCGTAACATCTATACTGATTTATATACAAGAGAATATATATGGCCTTATGAATAATATTCGAACGTCACTGACTGGAATTAAACCTCCTAGAGGGGTGAAGGTGAACTATTTGAAGTTAATATCGAAAGCCTCTTAGCGTGATAACTAACATTTGAAGATACGTAATTAAACGAAACTTAACCTTGGAAACATTTTTTATTATTATTATTATTTGTACCTCCATGTAGGGCCAACCTACCTACATAAATACTCAAGCTACATTTTAATATTTTGTTCTCAACCCCAGATAGGGACATTGTGATGTCCGCGCCGCTGAATTGTATATTTAAAGCCTTTTTGTGTAATAACTATCAATCCCCGTCAAATTCAAACGGGGATCCAAATTATGACGACCTGAGCCAAGATTCGAACCCGATGCCGTTCTATAACGGTGCCCTCAGACTAAACGTCCATACTGGTCAGCCAGAATGTTTTAAACAGTCTTGTTACTGCATCATAGTTTTGCACTTATTTTCTTTAGGTTACGGTATTTTAGTTGGCTCTAAAGTTAAACTGCATTTTTTTCAGACTCAATCTCTACAGAACGGTTCACCAAGCAATTGTAATGAAGATGCTGCGATGGTACAAAATAGACATTGTTCTGTTAATTGCTAGTCAGTATGAGTTATTTATGTTTACGAATAGTTATGTACATTATTATGTTTCATAAATATCTATAAAGACACATGAGTAGAGTTCGTTAGATTATTGTCTATGATGTGGTCAGTTATATAATAATAACACAATTATGCTTATTATTTTTTAGTAGTATAAGATATGTAGGTTCTACTACAATGCAATGATGGGTATATATACAGGTAACATACACATATATAAATAAAATTGGAGTGTTTGTTTGTAATATTAAAATAGTGTTTTTTACTACATGCATATAATCATACATCAAAATAACATTTTTTACGTATTTTGTCTGTCCGTCTGTTTGTTCTGGTTCATCTCTGTAATCGTTGGACTGATTTTAACAGGATTTTTATTGACAGATAGCTGATGCAATAAGGAATAACTTAGGCTACTTTTATTTTAGAAAAATAAATTTAAATTCCACGCCGACGAAGTCGCGGGTACATCTAGTCTTCAATATTTTTATATTAATAACAAAAAATGAATGTTTAAGATATACCTAAAAAGTTGCTAAATTGTAATTTGTACTAAATAAATGCATTTAATTTATATGTATCTAGCCTTTTATTTTTTTTTTTTTTTTTTTTTTCGGACTACTCTAATGCTGTTGGCCGTACGCAGTTGTATATCTTATAAACAAGGCTTACTAATACGCGTATGTATATAGGGGTTCGAACCTTATATGCCGATCCCCGTTTGAATTGGATTCGATGTGCATAGTTGCGCGCGCAGGATTTTTTTATTGTGTGTTTGAGGTCGTCGTCTTCGCGATCTATTGTGTGTGTGTGGGGTCGGGGTGGAACTTTTGTGTTGAGATGTGCCGTTATGGGGTCGTCGGGGTCAAATGAGATGTATATTACTCCTCGGTGCGTTGTCGACCGCACTGACTATAAGCGGATTAGGGTGGGATTGGGCAGAGTCGATTCGTCATAAACTTTTGATGGAGGGCAGATTAATATATTTACACTAATATCAAAACCTATTCAGTATTTTGATAACTAAATATTACAACTATATATTACATCGAAGCGACATTAATAATAAAAGGATAGAGTAGATAAAGGCGGCTCGGTCGCGGACACGCTTGATGTGAGGACGAAACGTTATTTTCCTATCTAGGGTGACGCCGAGATATTTCGTTTTCGAAACCCACGGGATGTTTTGGCCGAATAGTTCGATCGGGTGATTCATAGAGTCGAATTCCCTGCTAAAGTACACTGCTGCACTTTTTTCGGGATTGACTTCTATGCGCCACCGGCGGAACCATTACGGCTTTCTGAAGCCGTCTGGCTATTGTCGCATTGGCGGATGTAAAGAGAGCCGTGTCATCGGCAAACAGCGAATTTCGACTTTTAAGTCGGAGAATTTGGGGATGTCGTTGGTGTACAACGAGTAGAGCATCGGAGAGAGGACGGCGCCCTGAGGGACGCCGGCTCGTATGGGGTGCCGGATAACGCTCCGTTTATACGGTAGCGATAAGAGCGATTCGACAGGAAATCTCGTACAATGAGTACTAGCCTGTCGGGGACACCTAACTGATGAAGCTTGTAAATCAAGCCGTTGTGCCAGACTTTATCGAAAGCCTTAGCCACATCGAAAAATAGGACGCCTGTACCGCCTTTGGGGGACTTGGTGGCGAAGTACAGAGTGTTTTTGTGAATGTGCTCCGTGATGCGGTGCACTTGATGGACGCATGAGTGTTTGGCTCGGAAGCCAAACTGCTCATTGATGAGCAGGCCTTTGGAGTATATAAACTAGGCATTTGAAGATACGATAACTGGACGGGTAATTAAATGAAACCACGGCTTTTCCACCTGTCTGGAAATACATTTTTTACAGCGCCGCGTTAAAAATAGCGATTTTTTGATACCTTCTGAGCCGGGTGATTTTTTGATAGGTAGTTGTTTAACTAGCGTTTTGACCTCATCAAGCGTGACTGGTGAGCTTTGGTTTTCGACTTCGGTGTCTTTTCTCGAGATGACCTGCCTCGACTGGGAGCGTGCTGGGGGAGGGTCTCAACGCTAGACACTCAGCCTTGTCTTCGTCGAAGAAGGCTATAGTGTTGTCGAGTCGGACTAGCGGGGGCATGTCGTTTGTCTGTTGGTTTTGAGAGATTTCGCTATGCGCCAGTACGCGGTGTGGCATTTTCTCTTCTAGTGTCCCGGATCTGCGCGATGCGCTCCTTAACGCTACGCTGTAAGGCTCGCAGGCGCACCCGGTTCGGTTCGGAGGGGTAATCGTACGCTCTAGTGGCTGTCGCTTAAACCTCCTTACGTCATCGGGGATCCAACGGTCGTCCGTCGCCGGTACCTCCCTGGATCCTTGACGCCTGAGTTAGTAAGCGAGTCGATTCGAACCTCGGTGGACTCTATGATCGGGAATACGGTTTAGTATCGGTGTGTCGTCGATTCGAGAGATTTCTCGAGTCGTTGCCAGTCTGTTATTGTTTTGGTTGGTAGTGGCGTGTCGGGCGGAGGGCCCAGAAGGAGGGTTACCGGTCGATGGTCCGAGTTAAGCTCGGCATGGACTTCTGGGGAGCTCACCCGTAGGGTTACGTTCCTCAGCAGTGCCATGTCCAGTATGTTTGGTTCACGTTATGGGGAAATGAGTAGGGCAGTCGATTCTCGTTACTGCATCATAGTTTGTCGTGGACACGTGGCAGTTCCATTGTTCTTTCGCCAGGTTACGGTATTTTAGTTAGGTCGCTTTCCAGCAAAGTTAATATACTGCATTTTTTGCCGAGACTCCAATCTGTTTGTAGCTATACAGTAACGTTTATAGTATATGAGCACCAAGCAATTGTAATGAAGATGCTGAACGATGGTACAAAATATCGACATTGTTCTGTTTTTTAATAATTGCTAGTCAGTATGAGTTATTTATGGCGGTGTACGAATAGTTATGTATATTATTATGGTTGGCTAAGCATAAATATCTATAAAGACACATGTGTATGGGCATGGGCGGGGCCGACTTCGGGCGGGCGGGTTAGATTATTGTCTATCCAGACATTGTTAGCAGTGTGGCTCGGGTTGTGTTTGAGTTATATAATAATAACATAATTATGAGGCTTATTATTTTTTACGCACCGTGGGCGAGCGAAACAATTACGGGCAGAGTGCCCGTAGTTCTGACAACGATATGTAGGTTCTACTACAATTGGCAAATGCTCTTTATATCAAAGATCGATTTGCCTTCTGGGGATATATATAGAACAAGGTATATATGGGTATATATAAATAAAATGGAGAGTGTCTGTTTACAACGTAAGCATATTAAAACCTAGTTTTTTCCCGCACTGGTGACATGCATATAATCATATTGAGGTACATCAAAATAACATTTTTACGTATTTTGTCTGTTTGTTCTGCGACTTCATCTCTGTAATCGTTTGTTTTGGCTGGCTGGGAGCCGATTTTAACAGGACTTTTATTGACAGATAGCGTGATGCAATAAGGAATCAAGCTCCGCGACGGCTCCTTTTATTTTAGAAAAATCGTCCTCGAATTCGTCAGTGTCAATGAGTCATCATTGGGGACGCGGGGGGCGAGCTGTACACTAAGTGGACGGGCTTGGCGGCTTTGACATCATTTAAGATGCCGGGACACTTTTTTTCAATATTTTTATATTTTTTGAACAGTAACAAAAAAAAGAATGAATAAGTCTAAAATAGAATATAAAACAATACAATAAAATACAACAATACAATAACAATACAATACAATGAAACAATAGGGTAAGTCAGTACTTAAATAAATGCATTTAATTTATATGTATTGAGCCTTTTATTTCTTTTGACTTCTTGATTTATTTTTAGACCCAGTCTAGGCTCATAGATATTCAGAACAGGCGCGTTCGGAGGATAACCTGTCCTCTTGGCTTTTTGCGCGAAAATAACCGGTTCCAACACTCCAAGAAAATGTGAAGTTTCGCCGGCCGGCGACTTGCGATTATAGCATCGCGGGGGAAAGTGCGGGGTGAGTCGGAGCCGGCACTACATGATTCTTGTCGGTCGCGCCAACATTGTTTGCGCCAGTGAGGTTATGAACATAGATGCAAATGGCGCATGCTCCGACCGCATTGGCCGTCTGGTTGGTTCTACGCGCGATCGCAACTTGTTGATTGTTCACTCACTTCAAGTTAGTCTGCCGCGAACGATGCTTCGGGTGGTCGCGTCTCGCGTCGTGCCCGTATATATTCGGAACTTCGAAATTATTTTACGAAAATATGTGAAGTTTCCAAACATAAATTTGTGCAGAACTACCGTGCTAGACTTACAGTACAGTGTTTAGTTAACATAGAACATTACGATTAAGTAGTTTTAAGTCATTGAAACTTAATAGGCTTACTTGTTTTACCTGCATACTTCGTCCCACGACTCGCGCGAAGCGGTTGTTACCTTATCGAAGAAACGAATATTTTTCAAATGGATGTGCGGTTGTATTCTGTCTGTGATAGTGTACGTGTTTTGTGGTGACGAGACTCGGATAGTGTAGTGTCCGAGATTTGTGACAAGTTAGAAAATTTTGTGGTGATTTAAATAGAAAAGAAAAACATGATTATGCGCGGGGGAGAGACGGGTTTGCTCGTCGCGCTCGGGGCGCTTGCTTTGGCGTCAGCACAGTTCACAAAAGGTAAAAACCTCATTCTTACCTGTGCACGCGCAACTTAGCGCCTTGTCGTTCGTGCTTTGTTCGCCTTTTGTTTGTTTCAAAGAACGTTTAAAAATTTCAAATGTACTGGATATCTACCTGCGTGACGTCATAAATTTTAAAATGTACGTTTATGAAACACGTGGTATCTACCTAAATACAGTCATTTTACGGTCGATGACTCGTATGTGGCCGGATCTCACTAAAGTTGTTTTATTTGTTGACATAGTACCTACAACTAGTAATTTCCTGTTTCCAAGTAGGTCTAGCCATAGATATGCTTTTCTTTATGGCCCATTTTACATACCTCCTATATGTGACTGAGGGATATTTTTCATTTTTACGCATTGAATGCAGTTTTATTTAATAAATGATAAGCTTGATAAATAAACAACGCCCAGATACTCATTTAATATCTATTGGTTGAATTGAATGATAAGATATATGATCATATAATAAGTGTGTACGTTAGTGGGTAACTTCGTAATATACTAAGAAAATTCTTAGTAATAAATTTCAAGGCTACCTACTGACTGACTCAACTACCTAGAGTACCTAGCTAGAGTACCCTGTAATGTTCTTTTATAGAATTAGCAATGTAGTTGTAGGTATCTACATATAAATAAAGTAATTTTATAAAGTAGGTATCTGCCCTAGTAGAATGATTCGCAAAGTTATTAAGTAGGTTTTTACAACGTAAGAAATCTTAAAAAATATGCAGCTAAAATTAGGTACAATTAAATAACGTTAAGTATAAATTAATTTAATAATAAAATAATAGAAATTGATCATAACTATTTCATTAATAGATTAATCGACCAATAAGTAGTACTAAAAAGAAAACTACAGATTTATAGAAAAAAACTGTCAGTGTACTCCTATAATGTCTCAAAAGTTTTGAATTTCGAATAGCGTTATTGTTATATGGTTCCAGGAACATTAGCATTATTTTATTTTAATACTAGCCTAAAGTTATTTTAGACCTGTCTTTGTTAATAGACATCGGCCGACATGATATTGCTAAGTTTGTCAGTTGCATGGCACTAAACGCTGTTCTTCTTACTTAAATATGTACATATAAAAAGTTCTTTAAAAGAAATTTAATTTCACACGTATTTATTCAAATTTAGAATGTGGTTGAAGCATAAATACGGAACATACACGTCATTGTCATTATTTTTGATAGCACGTATACCTCTATAATAGCTATATTACAATATCCTACTGTACACCATGCATATTTAATTAGGTTTTAGCATAAAGATTGCTTAAATAGTGTATTTGACCAGTGAACTAGATATCCAGTACATTACAGCTGTATAATATTGAGTTCTAGAGTACTATAAATAAAACTGAAAATAACATTGACCTTCTAGATAGATAATTATTTGATCGAATTGACATTTTTATTGGTAATTTCGATTGGTGTCGTGTGATGTCATGAATTTTTAATTAATCTTTATTAAATGAAATTATAAGTTTAAGTAGTTACATACTTAATACTTGTATGTATTATATAAATTAATATTCGATGGGCCGATGATATTCACTTCACCCCGGTGAAAGGTGTTCGACGCGTCAATACTGTAAAATGGTACGAGATCCTAGGGCCGCCAAACGGCAGTTACTTTTCTGATGAGCAAATTATGTAAAAGTTTTAGTATAATTATTATAGTCATAATAACTCAATATAATTCACGCCATCTAATCCCAAGCTAAGCAGATTATTACTAGTCTGGATTGCCCCATTGAGAGCAATATACCATGTCAGTTTGACCTCCACGCGTTTCCTGGAAACCATCATGTTGTATTCCTGGTGAATTTGCCTAACTGACCTGACGACCTCATATTCATCTTATCGTCCTCCACTGGTGCCCCGCCAGCGTGTACTGATAGCAGCGCAGTCAAGTCTAGATACACCCAGACCAACACATAATTATTATTATTTTGTTCTATGTGTGCTGAAAATGCAAATAAATGATTCATTTAACAATCATAATCATGTATTCAAATGTTTGTACCTACCATGCGAGGAATCCAACCCACGACCATCGGAAGTGAAGCGGTGTGCTAAACTGCTTTACCACCGAAGCCGTCAAATGTACTATGAGCTTATGCCTACCTGCTACATTGGCTAAATTACTACTTTCCTGGTATCCGGTAATTGAAGTAGGTAGGTACGTAAAAACAATACTCACCTCACTTAAATACATGGATACCTGGAAAATAACCATCTGGCCAGGCTAGCAGGTAGGCTTGTGATCGTAGCAGGTACTGATATAATTATCAAAATATGTATAATATAATATATGTCCTATTACGTGACTAGTGTAAGTTCTTAAAAACTTCCGCTGTATCAAATTGCAGTTGGAGCCTAAGAATTTATGAATCCAAATATTTAAAAAAAAACTGAGATCAAATAACGTAAGTTACTTCGTTTAAAAAAATGTACACATTGTTAATTTCGTCTTCTTTATCTTTATTATGTTACATATGTCATCAAATTGTAATTATGACGAAGAAAACTCTGTTTATCTGTTGGTGTGTTAACCAGTACCTAATAACGACTGCAAGAATTAGAATAAAATGTTCATGGTTTATGTTGTTCATAATGCATCAACATCAATATAAGCTGTAGGAAGCTGAGAAACGAAACGAAGGGATGAAATAAGTAATTTTATTAGTAATTACAATGCGTCTTCTATATATTATTAAATTTTGTTTTAATTAGTTGTATTCATTGATTAATTTATAATATATTAGATGGCGTTGTATTATTTTTTTATTTATTGTAGTCGTTTGATTACCATCAATAGATGTATATTCTTTAATAGAAGTGTAAAAGAATTCAGAAGCAAGGTTTTATTTTGGACTAACGCAACTTCGACTGCTCACACTTACTTGACATTTATCATTATATTTCGCCCATTTTACATAATATCTCTTAGAATTATAGCCCATGTGTTATTCTGATTCATAAGGTATATATACTGTAAAGTTTCATCAAAAACCGTTAAGAAGTTTTTGCGTGAAAGAGTAACAAACACTTACTATATGCTATACTTAATGCTCCAAAAATGTTTATAACATTAGTAAGAAATAAGATTAAATAATTCGTAACTTTAATAAATTTATTTCTAACCGTAATCAATAGTAGATAGGTATAATATCTAAGTACATTACAACAGATAAGAATATTTGGCTACGAAATACCAAGATAGCATTATTTTATTGCGTAACCATATTTGGTTTTCTTACATACTTTATTTATTTAACGGGTTCGTAGTATCATAATAATTATTGACTTACGGATACAAAATATTTGGATGCATTTCTCCCATTTCATTAAAAACTATTTATTGTAATGCACACACAGGCTTCACATAACGAAATTAGGGATGTAGAGGTTTATACTTAAAAGGACAGTCCAAACTCGCGGAAGGACTTAGGGAGCGGCTGAAGAGTAACTTGAACTGGAAGGATACGATAATTTAGTCCGAGAGCATCTCTAAGGGCTCGAGTCTCGACTCATCATTTCTAACCCTGTGGGAATAATAATAATATTATGTATCAATATCTTTAGTTTTCAATTAAACGGCGTTTTACCAACTTGGGACGTTCCACAAGAACCTAGTATCACCTTACAAAAAGTTAAGTATGTACCTATATTAAAAATTACTTTCGCATTCTTAGAATTGAAATTAGAGAATAAATAAATAGCTGTTTAGTTTAACCACTGCCGCTTGTCTAGTACTACGACCCTCAGCGTAACCCGACCGACCAATAATAATTTCCTGTCCCTCACACAATAACTCATTCATTAGCCTTAATTTATGCTCCTTGCACTCACCTCAAGCAAAGACCTATTTAAAACGCAACCGGTTTATATAACTTTGTGTATAATACATTGGTGTGCATGGCTCACAAAATTTAAGAGACAGCGCATAAAAGAAGCTATGTAAATCGTCCAGTTTATGGGCCTTCGTGTGTGCTCGTTCGGTGGTACCGCGATATGGCTTCTGACACGGCTGCCTTTACGGTGACGTCATCGTGCAGCTATCCAATGACGGTTGGCACTTGGCAACTAGGGTTGTAAAAAAGTAATAATAAAGTTTTACATTTATTTGTAAATCGACATTCCAGGTACACGACTCACATTGTATCATTGTATTCATATTCACAATGTTATCAAGTATAGTTTTCTTGTAAATGTAACTTGAATAACAAATGCCAAAATACCGATAGTAAGTATGTGTAATTAATTTTAGAATAAGTCTGTCTTTAGATATCTTGTTCCTTACTAATATTATGAACGCGAAAGTTTATGGGTATGGATAGATGGAGTTTGTTACTCTATAAACTATTGAACGGATTTTGATGAAACTTTACAGTATATAAGAATACCATATGGGCTATAATTTTATAAGATATTGTGTAAATTGGTAGAAATATAATGATAAATCTTAAGCAAATGCACGCAGACGAAGTTGCGCGGGTCAGCTAGTATATTATATAAAAGGTATAAATAAAATTATGCTCAGTAATTTAGTGTGTTGATGACCTTTTTAATAAACGTTTATTACAATTGTTTGTTTATTTGTTGTAATTTTCACTAAACAACTCGTAATGGTTTAAGTATAGTTATGCGTCGATTATTTCTTAATCACTTACATCCTCTGCTTAATATTTGGGTGGGCATTATGTATTAAAACACAATTGACATTACTAATGAAGCAATTAATACAAATATATTACGCTGTAACACTTTTGTATTTTTTTATAGATGATATCGTTGTCTTGTATATTGACTGGTGATAATTTTTTTTTATTCAACAGTGTTGGAATTCAAGCAGACGGTCTACTGATATTAAAATACCATACTAGTTATATTTTTGGAAATTGTATACTCCAATGCAGGAGAATACAAAAAAACTACACTTCCGTACATTTAAATTAAAAAAAAGCAAAACAGTAGACATATT